GTCCCCGTCTCAGGCTGCACATTGTGTGGGAGCCCCTGAGCTCTGTGTGCGTTTTCAGGGATAGCATTGAGGGTGGCCCAGACTCAATGTCCCTGCTGTGGTCACTTGCTGAGGAGTCGTGAGTAGAGAGCAGTGAAGGCAGATTTGCCTGATTTACTTTGCATATGTACATTTTCCTTGTTTCTTTTTTTTTTCCTTCACCTTTTTGCCTTTTTTTCTATTATGACTGTGCAGGACTGCAGCATCTGTTCACCTGCATCTTGTGGGAAGTGGCCAGGGGGATGGCTGGTGCCAGGAAAAGTACATTGAGCAATGCAGGGCCAGGCTGTCAGTGGGCAGGGTTGGGGACAGAGAGTAGGAGGGACACCAGGACAAGGGGCTGGGTCTGCTTGAAGGTATTTTTGTGGCTGCAGCCCAAAATTAGAGAAGGCAGCATGCCCAGTCCCTGAGGCTGCAGCTGTAAGGACAGAGTCTGGGGAGAGCATCCCCAAGGTGCAGGAGAGGTGCAGAGGGATAGAGGTGGCATGGAGCAGGGTGGCAGGAGGCTGGCAGGGGAGTGGGGAGCCTGAGGTGGCCAGGTCTGGACAGGTTTTTTGTGTCTGCAGGGGAGCAAAGGTGGGGGAAATGCACAGCCCAGTGCTGCAGCAGTGGTTTGAGGGGCGCTGGAGCCCAAGACAGGGGAATAGGGCAAGTTTAGGCTCATTGCTGCCAAATGTGAAGGAGCAGGAATAGCCTCGGAGCTCAAGAAAGTGCCTTGGCTGCCACTGTGATGCCACACATCCTGTAAGGCACAGGGACTTTGACCTCTTGTTCCCATGAGAAGCCACCCATACCTGTGGGTTCAGCCCATACTGGGGCAGAGCCATCCCAGTACCATGCCCTGGTACGGCTAGCGGTGGGACAGGACTGAGGTGGCTGCAGTGAACAGGGCAGATGGAGCAAGGGGGAAAGAGAGAAACACCCAAGGCAAGGCACTGGCATCCCATCCCAGGGCTGTGCCAGGCCTGCCCGTCCAAGTTCTCATATGTAGCATGTTTGTTTGTTGTTTTGTAGTTCTTTTTTTGTTTGGTTTTTTTCTTCCATTTCACTCACTGATCTAAAACTCTGGGAATGAAAACTCAAAACTCCCTCACCATGAAACACAGGTGTGCCCCTCTCCTAGTCCCAATGGGGGATGAAGCTCTTCGTTATCTGGACCGGTTTGTGCCTCTT